ACAATTTTTTTATCCAATCCTCAGTGGATGGTCATTTGGGTTGCTTCCACAATTTAGCAATTACAAATTGTGCTGTGAACATGGGTGTACATATATTGCTGCAATATGATGTTTTCAGATCTTCTGGAAAAATAACCAGAAGGGGAATACCTGGGTTGAATGGAACCGCTAGACCTAGTTTGCTGAGGAATCTCCAAACTGATTTCCACAATGCTTTCACCAGTCTGCATTCCCATCAGCAGTGGAGAAGAGTTCCTATTTCTCCACAGCCTCATCAGCATTTGTTATTGGTTGATTTTTTCATGATAGCCATTCTTAATGGGGACAGATGAAATCTCAGTACTGTTTTAATTTGCATTTCTCAAATGACTAATGATGTTGAACATTTTCTCATATATTTATTTGCCATTTGTATTTCTTTATCTGAGAACTGTATATTCATCTCAGCTGCCCAGTTTTGGATTGGGTCTTTGAATTTGGGGGAGCTGATGATTTTAAATTCTTTGTATGTTCTAGAGAGAAGTCCTTTGTCAGAGGGACAGGCAGCTCAAAGTTTTTCCCAATTTGTGGGTTTTCTTTTTACTCTGCTATGATTTCTTTAGATGTGCAGAAACTTTTCAGTAGGATGAGATCTCAGTTGTTGATTCTTTCAAGTGTTTCATGGGCAGTTTGGCTTTTGTTCATGAACTCTCCGCCTACCCCTATGTCTTCAAGGTTTTTACCTACATTCTCTTCCAACAGAGTTAGGGTTTCTGTTTTAATATTGAGATTTGTGATCCATTTTGACTTGAGTTTGGTGCGTGGTGATAGACTTGGGTCTATTTTCAGTCTTTGGTACATGGCAAGCCAATTTTTCCAGCACCATTTATTAAAGAGGCTATCGTTCCTCCAATGAGTTTGTTTGGGCCCTTTATCAAAGATTACATGGCTGAGTATGTTTGTGATTGTGTCTGTGTCCTCCAGTCTGTTCCACTGATCTTCCAGTCTGTTTTTTAGCCAGTACCATGCTGACCTTACTACAGTGGCTTTGTAGTGTAATTTCAGGTCAAGGATTGTAATTACACCTGACTTGTTCTTGTTGCCCAGGATTGCTTTCGCTATTCTGGATCTCTTCTGGTTTCAGAGGAATTTAAGGAATGTTTTCTTGAGATCTGTGAGGTATGCTAATGGTAGTTCAATGGGAATTGCACTGAATCTGTACAACAATTTTGGTAGTATAGGCCCATTTAAATTATAAATAAAGATATAAAAATTCAAATTAAAATATTAGCTATCTCTAGGAAAATATACTGTAGTCAAGTAGGGGCATTATTAAGATTATGATGATAGTTTAATATTGGCAATAACTCCATATAAATTGGCCATAAGACAAATCTACTATCTTAATAAATATGAAAAATATTTGATTCAGTTCAAAATCCATTTATGAGTAAAAGTAGAAAAGCCTCCAAATCTTGAAATACTTTGATAAAGGTGATTGACTGAGAACCTATAGTATAATTTTTTTAGACATAATGAAGAAATGCTTCTATACTGAGGAAAGAGTGTCTATTACTGCCACTGCTCAATACTGTGTTAGAGAGCCACACCCAAGCAATTAAAGAATATATATACATATATATGTATATATATATATGTGTGTGTGTATATATATATATATATATACACACACACACACACATACACACACATATATATGAATGAACTGGAAAGACAGAAAACTATTACTGCTGATGATAGGACTTCTCTGTACATTGTTATGAATGAATAGAACAAACTACTGGAATTAATAAGAGCTAGATGTAAGGACAGTTTAAAGAACGTATTTTTATAAATCACCAATCAAGTAGAAAATATAAAATGTAACTCCACTTGCAAAGGCAACAAAACTGATAGGACATCAACTCAAAGGAGGAGCTGAGATATAGCTTAGTCTATATAGTGGTTGCCTATTATGCATGAGTCCCTGGGCTGGATTCCTAGCAGTACCAAATCAACCAACCAACCAACAAATAAACCAACCAACCACAAAAGAAAATTGCAATAGAGAGATCATGCTCATGAGTGATAATTCCCTCCACACACAGAAAATTTAATGCAATTCCAATTAAAATGCTAGTAATTTTGGGGGAACCTGTACGTATTTCAATACCAATACAGACATAAAAGTAAATATAGTAACAGAGTCTTGGAGGACTGGAGAAATAATACAAATACTAATGAGATGGAACAGATGGTTCAAAAACAGGCCTATGTACAGATGAGAAAACGGCACATGATGGAGACAGCCTGAACAGCCAGCAGGAGAGGACGTGGCTTATAGATATTATTTGAAAACTGACCTCATCGCTTCTCAGCCTTTTGGCTAAGATCAAGTGTAAAACTGACCTCACACTCTTCTTGACCTCAATCTTTTCCTCTAGCTTCTACCCTACTTCTCTGTTCTACAAGTAATCTAAGCTATGACCAGTTCTTCTCTTCCTAGGCTCTCTCAAGCCCACTTCAGTCAGGCACTCTGGCCCTCTTGATTCCTTGCAAGTGCTCAAGTCACAGTAAGCTCCACATTCTGAACCAAAAGAAGAACATTCAGTTACCATGCCTGGCCCATAGGAAGCAGCACATCATGTGTTGACCTATGAAACAGCCTTCTTCACCTGCATTCACGACTCTTTTGATCTGCCTGTTCTTTACCTGCCACTTTTTTGTCTCCTTGTTTGATTCTGGACTGCTTCACATCAAAATGCTTTAAATACAATCTATGTGCTAATGCTTAAAAAATTTATCTGTAGCTCAGGACTTTTCTCAGACTTACACCTATGCGTCCTAAAGCTGCAATGCCCTGATGTTCAATGGGCATCACTAGCACTGACTTCCTCACCTCTGGGCTCCTCCTTAGCTCTATCCACTCCCTTAGCAGCTGCTCTGTCTAGTCGCTCAGATCAAAAGCTATAATCAACCTTGAGTCTTCCTTTCACCTTGCATAGGAACTTCTGGCAGACCTAGTTGGCTCTCCCTCCAAAATATATCCAGAATTTAAACAAATCTCACTGCTACTATGGTCAAATTTATCATCATCCTTCGCCTACATCCATCTCACTAGTTCCCTTGCTTCTGTTCTTACTGCTGTATAATGTTATCATCCCACACCATACAGAGTAATCCTACTGAGAGTTAAAGCCAGTTGTGTCAAGCCACCGTTTTGTTCAGCACCAAGCCATGGCTTCCTGTCTGAGCTGAAACTCCTGCTATGGCTCACATGCCAGTTACCTGACCCTCACCTTCTACTAGATTCCCCACTTCTCTTTTCTATCAAACTGACCTTGCTGCTTGTCTGTGGTCCTGTTCCATAATTCTTCAGTGAGTGTAGCATGAGGTACCTGTGGGGTCCTGCAAGGGAAGCTACTGAATAGCGAACTGCAGAGACCTGAAGTCCTGAAGTGTGAGACAAAGCAGAGATACAAGTCTGTAGCTTGCCCACATAGAGGGGTCACAGAACAATCTGAAGCTTTAGGTGTAGAAGGCAATTTCCCAAAAAGGCAATAGGAAGAGACCAAGAATTGAGCTCTAAAGAAAGCCTTTAAAGGAGATAAACAATTTAAAGATGTAGAAGGAAATCCACAAATTTGGTGTGGTAAAATCTAAACAGGCAAAGAGTAGCCACCTATGCTGAAGACACAGGTATTAGTAATTATTAAGATATTAGTAATATGAACTAGATTTAGCACCATGGGAATCACTGGGGGCCTCTACACAGCAGTCTGGGTGAAGTGTAAGGAAGCCAGAGCTCAGCAAATCCTAATTGGAGACATAAGGGTGTGCAGAAAGCATACACAAGTCTTGAAAGAATCTGTAACAAATAGAAGCAAATAAATGGGGTAGTTGTTAGAAAGGAGTGTGGATCATGAGCAAGACAATTAAAGAAGAGGGTAGAGAGGACTTGACCGCTATTAAAAAGACTAGGAAAGGAGCGGGGTTCCTGACAAAGCAAAAGGGACAAGCAAATGTGCTTAGTCCTTAAGAAAAGGAGCTTCTTAAGAAGATGGCTATAGGAGGACTTTTTTTGGCTACCAGAGGGAAGGCTGGTTCAGTTTCCCATAGTTCTGCAGATCTGTTAGGAAAAACAAGACAATTCTCGAGTGACAGGATAAAGTGAGGTTGTCTCCCAAAGATGGATAGAGCAAAGAAAGGGCTAGAGATTCTAGACGGGGTGTCAGAGGTAGCGAGGTGCAGGCCTAGACTTCAGATAGGCATCTGAGGGCGACGAGTGTACAGTGAGTTGGCATATTAATACTTCACAAACCAAGGCAAACGGAGTCAATAAAAATACATCCTTTACCATAAATCATGCAAGAACTTCTGTTCCTACAGCTCAGACACACCCAAAGTTGAAACTGTCACTACCATTCCTTCACTTGGAACAACTATAATTTACTCATTTATTAACTGCCCTTGCATTTCCCTATCTTGCAATGGAGGTAGAATTTCTAACACTGAAGAAGCCTGTGTCATCCTAAAGGCAAAAACTAAATGTCTCAGGCAATGTGAGATCATTTCCTAGTAGACTAGAAACTGGCCTGAAGATGTTATCAGCTTTTATTTTTTTTCTCAACTCTAGAAAATTTAATTTACAAAAAACACAAATAGTAAGGAAACTACTGCCATCCAATGACTTAGCATCTGATTACACCCTTGTACCTGTGGTGATGTGGAGAGCTGCTCCAATGTTTGCCCTGGTTATTTCTTGTGGGAAGATGTTGGGTTGTTATTGTTATCTTCTATATTGCTATAATATTTTATCAATACATTAATTTTTAGAAAAACAAAGGCATAATTCTTTAAAACAACCACCAAAAGTACACTAATTTTACATAAAGTAAGTTGAGTGGACTGTTCTTCATTTCTTAGCTGCCAGGTGATTTAAACAGCCTATCAAATTTAAACTTTTCCTTAGTTAAGTGTGATATTGACAAATTTCATGTTGGTTGAAAATGAAGACTTACCCTTGTAAAGCTTTATGAATCTGTTGGCACTTTTTCTTCAATATTGCAAAAATATCTGAATGGGAAAGAATACATTTCATGATACATTTGATACTACTAACCTAAGAATATTTGTAGTGGCCCAGCTCAAGTTCATCAATTTAAAATGCACCAAATCTTAACACAAACTAACCGAGAGCCAGTACCTCATACTCCTCTGGGGGCCCTTCATCTTTAGCACTTAACTGGCTACTTCTCACGTTGCCACTCCATTTTCAGCAAAATCTGGAATGGTGGTTTCCAAGAAAAATAATGGCTCTCATTCTTACCAAGATTCTTTAGATAACTGAGTTTAACAATCAAAGGGTAGAAGTCTACTATGTAGTTTTTTATTTTAAGCAACTTTGAAAAATCAATTGTAGCAAAGTAATTTTTTTGATACTTTCCTTTTATTCAAGGGAAATTTAAGGAAAAAGTATGTGATTAGGAGAGAAGTGCCAGGCCACCTCACAATGAGAACCTGAATGTAGCACAGGGGCACACTCAGGTCTTCTGATTCTCTGAATTAGTATCAGTGCTAGCAAATCAGGAATGCCAGGTAAGATCAGCTTCTACCTCTCTGTGTGAAGTTTTTAAGGAAGTAATATTACACCAAACACCACATTTTAAATTCTCAGTTGACTTGCTTTTAGCCCACTAAGTTGCTGGTTGATAAACTAGGCTTAGCTTAGTATCAGTTGATGACTCAAAAAGGCTGAAGTTGGGAAAACTAAAAATATTTACAAAGTTATACAAACCAAAAAGCATCCTACTTCAGGTAATTATTCAGAAAACCAAATGACAACTGGCCATTTACACAAGGGAAAGTGTGTAGGGCCAGTACTCTTGACCTTCCCCATCACGGCACCTCTGCCCACTGAAGCAGACAACTCTGAGCACAGGACAGAAACTCTGGCCACACCTGCAAGGTAGGCAGGGAAGTTTCTTCACTGCCACTCTTCCCCAACAAGACCATGCATAGGTGAGGGGCCATTGTCTGAAATGCCAGGGACCAGAAACATTTCGGATTTCAGAGTTTCTGACTGTGTAATACTTGATAGACCTTACAGGCTGAGCTTCCCTAACCTGAAAATCTAAAATCTGAAATGTGCCCATGCTCAAGAAAGTTTTAGATTTTGGAGCATTCTGGATTTTGATTTTTGGATTAGGGAAGATGAACTTGTAATTCAGAGCCAGAGTTTTGCCTGGTAAGTAATTTCCTCTGGCCAATGCCTCCAAAAAGCAAGTGAGGAACACGGTTAACATAACCTGAGTTTAAATGTTATACCTGGATTCTCTTCCATGATGTTGAGGGCCTCAATGGCAGCAGCAGCTAACAGGGGAGGTAAAGATGCTGAAAAGCAATACCCCTGGCCAGAGAGTCGCTGAAAAAAAAATAAATCAAAAAACATAAACTGTACATTCTCTTTCTGAGTGAATTGTTCCAAGGCCAAATCTCTACAGCACTTCCTAAAGTACGCACACATGGTGAGGGGTAAGATCTAGCCAAGAATAAATGTTACACAGGTAACAAAAACAAGACTTGTAAGGGAGGTAATCTCTAAAGATAAAGATTTTCAGTGAATTCTTTTTTATTTTAGTTTATTAGCACATGTGTGTAGTACATAATGTTTATAATGCTTGTGGGGAAGTTGGTACATGTACATAATGCATCTTAATTCCTTTTTTATCCCCTTTCCCTCTTCTCCTCCATCCATTTCTTGATCCTGCTCTTCTTCTGTGGTATGTAACACATTGCTATTTCTGTTTTCATCCCCTTTCCTTTCCTTTCCTTCCCTCCATCTTAAGTCCCTTCCACTTTGAGAAAGCTCTCTCTGCCTCTTATTATCTATCTTTTATTTTGCTCTTTATCGTTACTCACGACTTCTCACATAGGAGAAGCTAGACAAAAGTTAAGCTTGTCTGATGGTCTCAAGGTGCATCTACTTTCCCACAAATGACTCAAGTTTTTCTTTCCTTAAAGCAGAATACTGGTTTACTGTGTGTAAACATCACATTTTCCTTATCTGCTCATCTGCTGGTGGACATATAAGCCACTTTCAAGATTTACTTATGATGAATTGTGCTGCTATAAACATGGGTGTGCATGTATTACTGCAATATGTCTTTAAAAAAAATCTTTTGGGAAGATACCTAAAAGGGGAACTGCTGGGTTGAATGAATTTTCTAGCTTTAGTTTTTTGAAGAATCTCCACACTGATTTCCACAGTTGCTGTACTAGTTTACATTCCCACCAACAGTGTAGAAGTATTTGTTATTATTATACAGCCTCTTCAGTATTTGTTATTATTTGATTTTTTGGTAATAGGCATTACTTTATTTCTGGAATCTCAGTGTTATGCATTGCTCTAATGAGTGAAATGTTTTAAAATCTATTTCTAAGTAATAATTGTACGATTAATTGATAATAAAACTTCATTATTTTGAAGTCAAATTCGGAGATGAATAATGGAATGCAGTTTCAGATTCTGCTTGTTTTTGAAAAGGGCCTACCTGGTGGTCAATTACAAAAGACCTGCCACAGCAGAAACCGCCAATGGAAGCAAGTGAGTTCTCCATGTTGGCACTGATAAGATCAATGTCATCAATCTGCCAGAAAAGACATCAATAATTATTCCTTGAGTTAAAGGGTAAAAAAAGGCAATGTGAAACATAAAGACACAATTTCAACACAAATAATACCAGTCACATCTGGACTCAAAGGGGGATGGAATCTGAAGCTGTTTGAAAGAAAAAAAATAGCCAGAGGTGCAAAGTAAGATTATTTCCTTGCTAAAACAGTGGGTTAATTATCTCCCTAACAGTGGGCCTATCCCACAGAATGTACTTGAGATAAATAATAATCAATTTTTTGAGTACTTTAATTTAAAAATTCAAACATCATGACAACAGAATTTCTGACAATTGGACACTGATGAGCCTAACATATTTTGGGTGTTGAGTTCCTGCATCTCCCCTCCTAAGAACTCCTTTGGTCCTCATCTTACTTACTTCAGTCCCAGTACCACTCTGGGGACACAGCAGGCATTTAGCAAGAACTTTCTGAGGGCTGTGACATTGGCTCATTAGGTCACCTCTGCTGTGTTTCTAAGTATTCCATAGATCAGCGGTTTTCAAATATCCCTGTCTGACGAACTTAACATGTGCTTGAAGTCGGATCTAAATAAGGTCTCTACTCGCTGCTCACTTACTCTTAGTCCCTCGAGCATATGATCTCAGTGAGAACTGCTGGAGTTCTCAAGTAACTCAAGGAATAATTCTAGAAAACTAGAATAGTAAAGTTCATGATTTTCCTTTTTAAAGAATTTTCATGCCTTATACTGACTTCACTGTCCTACTAAATTTGCTTGCCATAGTTCAACTGCTGAATGTCAATGTATCTTAGATGACTGTGCTTCCAACTAAGTCATGTGGCATTTGTTCTGCACTATGTTTATCTCTAGAACAGTATGAGTACTGGGACATAGATAATCGAAGGGTATTTTATATTTTATAGCTCATTTGTAACACAAAGATTTAAATGCATATATTTTGGTGAAAAAGCAACCTGAAACCACCCCATAGCAGTTGGGTAAAGTCAGATGTCCTAGACTGCCAGAATTTACTCTGCTCCATGCTTCATGGAGTGCAACTCACTAGGTACTTGGGCAAGTCCAGTCCACTTCCTCCAGCAAAAGGACACAAGGCATACTCACTTCAATTGCCTGGGGCCTTCAGGAGCTTTGCTGAATCCAAGCCAGTGTGGTGTCTGATACCACATATGCGTGTGCGTGTGTGTGCACATGCGCGCACACACTTCTGTGCACCCGTATAGACATACTATACATGGCATAACTGTTATCTCTTAAACACAAATTACACGGAATATAGACTGTTACATATAGGAACATTTTCACTATTATCAATACTTTTCAGAAGAATACTGAAGGAATTTTAAATGATTTTAATAAATATTAGGCAAAATTGAACTGGTCTTAGGAAAACAAAACATGCCAAGTCAAAACCAAGCACTCTATGTAAACGGAACACAAATTCCATGGGGAAGACAGGATCTCCTGGTTAGGTAGCCAGACCTGTCCTGGATTCACTGAGGTGACAGACGCCTATAAAAATTCAGTCAGCAGAATAGAAGCACATGTCTACTACTGGGGCAGAGATTTCTCCAATGTGGAGAACTTACACTGATTCCATAGTGCTCAGTGACTCCTCGGCCATGCTCCCCAAGAACTCCAAATGAAAGGCTTTCCTCCAGAAAGATTCTTGCCTTGTACTTGTATTTTAACTTTACCTAGGTATGAAATAAAACACAACTTTAAAGCAATGATTGGCAGTATGTAAAATATATTTCAAAGAAAAAAATTAAACCTGAAAAAATATATATAGTTGGCCCTGAATTTTGTATTTCTAAGATCACACACCTGTTTAAAATTTATTTAAAACCTAAAGCCAGCAACCACCTGTCTCTACAAAGTGCCAGCAGACAGGCATACATGCAGCGGCAGAGCAGGTTGGAGGGCTGAGTTATGTGACAAACATGTTTCCAGCATCCTTTCACGGACACTATTTATTGCCATGTTTTTCACAGTTTTGTACTTTTCGCTGGTAACTCTGTTCTTTAAAATGGCCCCAGGTGAAGTGCTATCTAGACCTCTTAGTGAAAGAAGGACATGCTGTGCTTCATGAGCAAATGTTGAAGAAGCTCCATTAGGAGAGAAGTTTGGTGTGAATCAATTAGCAGTATGTACTCAGTAAGGTATCTTCAAACAGAATCACCCACAAAATAAGTTAGGCACTGATTGGTAACAGAAATGTGACCAGAGGCTCACAGAAACCAAAACCTAAAATTGCCCCCACAGCACAAAATGAGTACTGCCTACATCAGTGCTATGGCAACTTAACCAAGTATGGTAAGTACGAGAATCAATCATACTTCAGGTTTCTAACGTGATCCAGTTTAACTTGATAATACAATTTCAAAACAAGATTGTAGGAGAGTAACAATGGATAGTACATTGTGTATTGTTTATCTTCAAAGTCGTTGCTCATATAAGATACAGGCATGAAAAACTGATCAAACAATATAGGCATAAACCTTTCTTTTGAAACAACTAATAGCAATTAGTAGTTGTAAAACTATCTTAACTGTCTTGTGGGTATGTGCTTATGTATGTACATACGCATTTTTCCTTTTCCCTTCCTTCTTTACTCCTTTCTCCCATTCCACTTTTTCTTTCCTTTTGAAGAGTTTCTTCCCATTTCACAATATTTATTGCACATTTTGGAGCTTACTTACTGTTTTTACACTAGGGAGACAATACCATATTTACACTTAAGAGTCTAATTTATTTCAGTTACGAGTATGGTCTCTAGTTGCATCCATTTACCTATAAAAGCCTTGAGTTTATCCTACTTTATAGGTGAGTAGTACTCCACTGCATAAAAATACTACTTCTTTTTTATCCATTCCTCAGTTGATGGGTATTTGGATTATTCCTAAGATTTAACTATGACAAATTGTGCAGCTATAAACATGACTAAACATGTATCACTATGGTATGATGTTTTTAATTCTTCTGGAGAAATACCCAGAAAAGGAATAGCTGGGTCAAATGAGACCTTCAATCCCAGATTTTTGAGGAATCTTCACACCAATTTCCACACTGATGACACAAGTCTACATACCCATCAACAGTGGAGAAGGTTTCCTTTTTCCCTACAACCCCTTCAGCATTTGTTATTGATGACAGCCATTTTTTCAGGGGTGAGATGGAATCTTAGTGCTGTTTTAATTTACATTTCTCAAATGACAAACGACATTGAATATTTTTTCATATATTTATTTGTCATTTGTATTTCTTCATCTGAGAAGTATATATTCATCTCAGATGCCCATTTCTGGATTGGGTCTTTGAATTTGGGGGCCTGACTTTTAAAAATTCTTTATATGCTCTAGACAGAAGTCCTTTGAAGGGACAGTTGGCTAAAATTATTTCCCACAATCTGGGTTGTCTTTTCACTCTGTAGGTGATTTCTCTTGGTGTGCAAAAGGTTTATATATAATAACATGAGACCCCAGTTGTTAATACTTTGAAGTGTTTCCTATGCAGTTTGGGTTTTGTTCATGAATCTCTGCCAAACCCTATGTCTTCAGGATGTCTACCTACTTTCCAATCCTGTAGGATTAAGTGCTTCTACTTTAGTATTTAGTGTATGGTGATAGACATGTGTTTAGTTTTAGTTTTCAGCATGTAGCAAGCCAGTTTATTCCACAGCATTTGTTAAAGAGGCTATCTTTCAGTGATTGGCCTCTTTGTCAAAGATAAGGTGGCTGAGTGTGTTTGTGGTTGTCCCTGCATCTTCCAGTCTGCCCTACTGATCCTCAGATCTGGTTTTTTAGCCAACACTATGCTGATTTTATCACAGTAGCTTTGTAGTATACTTTCAAGTCAGGGATTGTGATGTCATCTGTCTTGCCTTTGTTGCCCAGGACTGCCTTTGCTATTCTAGGTCTCTTCTGGTTCCATGTGAATTTCAGAAATGTTTTCTGTAGTACTGTGAAGTATGCTAATGGTATTTTGATTAGGATTGGATTAAATCCCTATAACAATTTTGGGATTATGGCCATTTTCATAATGTTGGTTCTTCCTATCCATGAGCAATCTTTGCATTTTCTGAAATCCTCTTTGAGCTCTTTTTTCAGAGTACTGTAATTTTCAATATCTAGATCCTATACTTCCTTTGTTAAATTGATTCCTAAATATTTCTTTTTCTGGATGTTACCATGAAGAGTGCAGTTTGCCGGATTTCTCTCTCAATGAATTTGTTTTTTGTGTACAAGAATGCTACTGATTATTGAGTGTTGACTATGTATCCAGCTATATAACTGAATTTGGTTATTAACTCTAGGAGTCTTTTCGTGGAGTTTTTGGAGTCTTCCAATGTAGAGTATCATGTCATGTGCAAATAATGATAGTTTAACAACTTCTTTTAGTATCTTTATTTCTTGCTCTTGTCTAATTGCTCTGGCTAATGTATTCACAACTATATTGAATGAGAGTGGTGGCGGTGGACATTCTTGTCTTGTTCCTGATTTTAGAGTGGAAGCTTTCAGTTTCTGTCCATTTAGCGTAATGTTGGCTGTTGGTTTGTCATAGATGGCTTTCATGAGATTGACATAAAGACCACGTCTTTGGATTTTCTGCAGGGTCCTTATCATGAATGAGTGCTGGACCTTATCAAAAGCTTTTTTGGCACCTACTGAGATGATTATGTGATTTTTGTCTTCGGTTCTGTTGATATGATGTATTACACCGATTTGAGTATGTTTAACCATCCCTGCACTCCTAGGATGAATCCCACTTGGTCATGGTATATAATCTTCTTGATGATTTGCTGCATTCTGTTTGCTTGTAACTTCAGTAATTTTGCATTTATGTTGATTAGGGAGATTGGCCTATAGTTCCCACTCTTGGTTGTGTCTTTCTCTGGTTTTGGTATAACGGTAAAAACTTGTCTCCAAGAAGGAGGCAGTATTGCTTCCCTTTTAATTTCATTAAAGAGTTGGAAGAGTATTGGCATTAAATCTCTAAATTTCTTGTAGAATCCAACAAAAACTCCATCAGGACCTGGCCTTTTCTTTATTGGTACGTTTTCAATTAATTTTCAATCTCATTAACTGATGTTGAGTTATTCAGAATTTTTATATCTTCTTGATTGAGCTTTGGTAATTCATATATGTCAAGGAATCTGTTCATTTCTTCTGTGTTTTCCATCCTATGAGAGTACAGTTGTCCCTCGCTATATTGTGGTTCACTTATTGTGGCTTCAATTATCATGTGTTTTTTTTTTAAAAAAAAAACACCTAATTCTGTATCATGAAGTTTTTGCTATATCACGGGATTCTGCAGTACAGCATTTCACTGGTTAATATCCATAAAGAATTTCACATGTTGTTAAAATTACGTAGGTGTGGGTCCAGTCAATGCTTTACTCACACAGCCACCGTTCCCAGCTGAAACTCGCAGAGAGAGCCAGGAATTTCCCATCTACTTCTGGAGGGCAGAATGAATGACCCAGGACCCCGCCACCATTACAGACTGAGTTCTGCCCTCCCTGCACCCGTGGCAGACGGGAGGTCCTCACTCAGAAGCACCAGAGACTTCTCTGGCTGGGGTGGTGCGTGTAGTCCCTCATTGTGCATGCCCTGTGGCAAGTAAGCAAGTGCTCCAAGAGCTGCTGGTCCCGTGGTTTGAATCCCTGCTTTACTCACACCGCCACTCTTCCCAGTGGAAACTCGTGGAGACAGGCAGATATTTCCCATCTACTTCCTGAGGGCAGAGCAGGCGACCCAGGACCCCGTAACTACAGACTGTGTCTCTGCCCTCAATACACCCGCAGCAGACAGTGGATCCTCACTCAGAAGCCCCAGGAACTGCTCTAGCTGTGGGCGGAACATGTGGACTATCCCTGTGCACGCCCTGTGCCAAGATAATGACTGCTCCAAGACCTGCTGGTCCAGTAGTTCCAGTCCGTACTTTACTTTCGCCTGGAACCCAAACGGGGTCGAAGACATGGGCAGTCTGTGATTGCTACCTGTTCAGACTGCATCTGGTTCTTGTATGTGTCCTGAACTGATGGGAGACACAGAATCAGGTGGTTCACAAACTGTCGACCCTGCAATGTGTGTCTGAGTTTTGCATGTACACTGAACTGCCTGGGGACATAGGTCCACTGGACTGGGATTGTCACACCAGTATGACCGGAGTATGAGCCGAGCAGGTGCCCTGAACTGCAAAGGGACACTGGATCAGATGGTCTGCCATCAGCTGACATCAATGCCTGCATCTAAGACCTGGGATAAAGAGATACAAATCAACAACTGCTGGAAAACCCCAGACAATCAGTGCTTCTCAGCAGACACTGAGGGGCAAACCTGACCAACAGCAAAACTAGGGACACTAGTGGCCTTTGCTGTGCAGCCACTGAAGACGAAACCTGAGTTTTCTGTGTCTGG